ATATTGGAAAGGAAAAGGGGCTGAGAAGGAACAAACAGTGAGAAAATAGGACAGGCGTGAAACCACAACACAGCAAACGATGTTGGGACACGATGTATCATCATACCATGAGATGAGACAGCACATCATATCATATCTCTCTTACAATTATGTGACATCTTATAATATGATGATACGATGATACGACACAATTTTTATTGTACTATCACTTGGCACGATGTATGATATGACCACGTGACACGATGTATGATACCATCACGTGACACGATGTATGATATGACCACGTGAAACGATGTATGGCATGGCCACGTGACACGGTGTATGATACCATCACGTGACACGATGTATGATATGACCACGTGAAACGATGTATGGCATGGCCACGTGACACGGTGTATGATACCATCACGTGACACGATGTATGATATGACCACGTGATACGACGTATGATACCATCACGTGACACGACGTATGATACGGCCGCGTGACACGATGTATGATATGACCACGTGACACGATGTATGGTACGACCACGTGACATTAAATATGATTTTGATCACATGGCGCGTTTATGATACGACCACGTGACGAATAGTATGATACGACCACGTGACACGATGTATCAAACAACCACGTGACACGATGTATCATACCACCACGTGACATGCATCATACGATCATGTGACACTGTAATGTTATATCATACGATTATGTGACCCATTTATCATACGTTGGTGCGGCGCCATATGCCATACGAGCGCGTGACATAACATCGTAAAATAATGTGATACCACATACCATAACATAATGATGTGACACAATAGATGATCTATCATACGATCCTGTGACACGATGTATCCTTCGATGGTTTGATAAAATATGTTGTACGATGAGGCGACAACACAATAATATCATAAGGCGGTGTCGATGATGCGACCTATATTTCATACGACGGCGCTACATCAAATATCACATGATAATACGTCTTGATATATTATCGTATGATACGAGATACCACACGACATATAAAATAAAATATCATATGGATAAGGGCGGCTGTGTATCGTACGATTCCATGGCAAATCGCGCCACAATACACCAATATTTGCCACTTATATATTATCACAGGATAACAGGTCTCAGTCTGTAGTAATTTACTGTTCATATGGAATACGACACAATGAAACAATATAATGTTATGTGAAGAGCACAGAAAACGAATGGTGAGATGAAACGTCACAATATATGATATAATGATATGGCACAACGTATCACAGGACAATACGCCACACCATATCGCATTTTGATATCCCACAGTACGGTAATACGCCCTATTGTATCATATACGACAACACTCCATAACATAATGTTGTACTGAATAACACAGCACAAGAGTATACGCCATTACATACTACCAATATATGTCACAGCATATAACACGATGATATAATGTCATATCACCACGCCATATCATACAAGATGCCACAACGTATCGTGAAATTATAAGAAAGACTGTCATACGACACGACGATACGCCATCATCAAATCATAAGACAAAAAGGCCAGAGAGTACCATAAAATGAAACGACACGATGATAATATGACACATCCTCGCACCAGACAAGATGCCACAGGGCGTATCACAAAATGACACAACAGACGGTCACGTGATACGATGTCCAAGAGTAACAACACCGACCGACCAAGTGAGAGGGTGAGTGAGACAGTCTCCAGGCACAGACTTGCACCACAGGGAAAACGCACAAGAGGACGACCACGACAGACCAGTGGGCAGGAAAAGAAATATGCCAGGATAGATAATAAATAAGTGCTGACTGAACCACTGCACAGGGAGCTACTGATTCATTGCGCCCCC